TGGCAGTACCGCAGACTTTTCTTCAATTGGTCTCCCGTTTTCCAATCTTGCTTGTCTCTATCCCATAGGTCTCCCACCCGGAGTATCCCCCTTTTGACCCAACTGCGCCAAGGTGTAGACGAGCTCGTCAAAACCCTGCCTGCCGAATCTGTTACCCACCGGTTTCCGAGCAGGGACTGACGGCAGACTTCTTCCCACCGTTCAAGGTGAGCTTTGTCCGGGAGTGGCAGTTTGCGCCAAGTTCCTAGCAAGGACGGCCCGAAGGTGTCCGTTGTCTGGCCGCCATCCTGCCCTTCCCTCCCATGGGGAAGTTTGTGCGGGATCGACCAAAAAAGGTCTTCCAACCATATCAGGGGGTGGGTAGTTTGGGAGGTTCTCGGGGTTAACCGGGCCAAGGGTTCTTAGGCGAGTACGCACCATGGACTCTGGGGGTAGAAGATGAGCTTTTTAATCCATTTTAATCGTAAGGCCTATACTTGAGTGTCTGGGTCGATTATCCCCAGACCTCCCCTTGCCTTTGGTTGGATTATTGAATCCCACGCTACTCGGCTTATTAAGTTATTAAGCTCACCATCCCCCCTCCACAGGAAGGCCGTCACTTTCTTCTCAGACTGCTTAGGGCTGCTTTAGTCAGAGGCCATAGCAGTGACTTATACCATAAAGAGGCGAAGATTACGTTGTTGAGCAGTAAGACGCGGCCGAACAAAGATGTATGTTTATTTCTCCAATTGTTAAGTTTCTATTGAGCCCGGGCGTTGATCCAGTCATCATTTGTTGGTGGGCGCCCTTCTGTGGTCATCGTTACCCCCAGAATTCTTACTGGTTTATCTAATGGCATGCAATGAGTGGAGACTCCGAAGGGCGTCTCCCTTGATAATGAATCCACCATCCTTGTGTTTTGCTCCCCCAGTTGACAGTCAGATCTGAGACCTAGCAAACTTATTCATCATCGATTGGATTTCCTCCATGTTGCTGTGTGTGGCTTCTGCAAGTATTGTGAGGTTGTCTGCAAAAAGGGAGCAAATGGGGATTGCGTCCTCCGGGATGTGTGTGACTTGGATTCTGGTGATGTTCTTATTTGCCCGGAGGCTAGCCGCTAGTGCCTCCATGATGACCAAGAACAAAAAGGGGGCAATTGGGTCCCCTTGGCGAACCGACCGTTCCAGACGTAAAGGAGGTGCCAAACTTCCGTTGACCTGAACACAAATTGTTGCGTTGTGATGTAGAATCCATATCCAGCGTATGAAATTCGGTCCAAAATTCATTTTTTCCAGGCACCTGTCCAAGAACAGCCAGTCCACATGGCCATAGGCTTTTTCGAAGTCTATGAAGACCAGGGCTGCATTTTGTCGGGAGTGTTTTGTGAGTTGGAGTACTTCATGGATTAACATGATGTTCTCTTGTATGTTCTTATTTTCCATGAAGCCTGTTTGTGAAGGATGAATAACTTCTTCCATGACTGGGATCATCCTATTAGCTAAGGCTTTAGACAACATCTTATAAACCACTGTAAGTAGGGTGATCGAACGGTAGTTTCTGATGTCCATTTTGTCCCCTTTCTTGTAAAGGAGGGTCAGTACTCCTTGCCCCACCCTTTCCCCCATTCTTCCTGTGAGTCATACTTCTTTATAGAAATCCATGATGTCTTGGCTCAGGAAACCCCATGTGGATTCCCAAAATTTTTTAGGAAAGTCGTCAATTCCAGATGCTTTTTCTTCCTTCATCTGGAGGAGGGCAGTCCATATTTCTTGTTTGGAGAGTGAAATTTCTAGGGATTCCCGTTGTTCATCGGTTAGGGTTTTGTTGAGTGGTTGGAGGAATTCTATTAACAGGTGATCGTGTTGTGGCGAGTCTGACCTATCTATGTGCGAGGAGAAGAGATCTTTATAGAAATCGTATGTGATTTTGGTGCACCTCGCCGTGGTCACAGCCGGGTCCGCCTCTCTGGCGTGTGGTTCGTAGAGTGCTTCAATTGTGGTTCTTTTGAGGCATGTCCTGGCTAAGCCAAAAAAATTTGAATTCATCAGGCCTTCTGTGGAGAATCTGGACAGTCTTGCCCTCGTTTGGGCTCCCTGCCATCGATACCGTGCATGTTGCAAGAGTTGGTTTTTCAGGTCTAGTATCCAGTTCTGTAATTCGGGGGATGGTTGTTCATGCCCTTGCGATATTTGTTTTTGTTCTGCGTCTGCCAAGTTGTGCGTTAGTGTGATCTCGTGCGAATGTCTCTGAGCGGCCAAAAGTTTTGAGTATTCATTACATTTTCTAGCTAGGAAGAAGAGTCCATTGTTGAACCATTCTATTGGTGAGTCATGGTGGCTAGCTAGGAAGAAGAGTCCGTTGTTGAACCATTCTATTGGTGAGTCTTGGTGGGGGCGCTGGTCTTTCCAGTAGTCTCATGCTTGCTGTAGATATGTGAGGAACTCTTGGGACTTGAGAAGTGAGGTGTTAAGTTTGTAATAGCTAGTTCCTTGGTCTGTTTTTTTTCGGAAGGTCCATACAGACCACAACATCATTGTTGTTGTTGTTATCGTCGCTGTTATTGTCGTTATGTTGTAATTGTTGTTGCTCCCGGGCCCGCACGAGCTCAGGATCCCTCCTTCCATACCACTGTCGTGCGCAATGCTACTGTTGTTGGTGTAGTTGTTGTTGTTGTTGTTGTTGTTGTTGTTGTTGTTGTTGATATTGGTGTACTGTGCAGATGTCAGTGTCTTAATCACAGGCTCTATCGGTATAATTGATGTCGCTAATGTTATCGTCGTGAGCACCATAGATGTTGATGTAATCATCGCCACATCAGTAGTTGTCGTTGTTGTAATCGTTGTTGCAGTCGTCGTAGTCTGTCGCGGACACTTGTCATCATACTCGACGAGCCCCTCCTGTGCACGCTCTTCCAATTCAGTTCGCAGGTCATGTGCCTCGTCAAAAAGCGCATAATATCTCTCCATCAAGATATCCACCTGCCACCAGTTAATGAAAGTGTCCAAACGTGGGTCTGGCCCCTCAGCTTCCCAGATAACTTCCATAATGGACAGAGTCATATCCTTCACCCATTGCTCCAGTCCCGAGGCCGCTCCCCCATCGACCTCTGGCCAAGCCTTCGCTGTTGTGGATAAGGCATCCACCAGATCCTGCAATTGACATTGACCCACCTCCAGGAACGAAATCCACTGATCAGCTTCATATTGTAGATTAGTGCTTGTCGACGTCATCCCTAGCAACAGCATGTATCCCCACGTGCCCAGATGAGATGCCCTCTAAGTAGAAAACGCGCCGTCTAATTAACACCCTACACGCCCGTCGCCGACGTACCGTCTCCTGTCGTACCCAGTGAGAAGTGCACCATCGCCCAGTCAAAAGACCAAGTCGAATATACAATAAATTTATCAATTCAAATTATATAATAAAAATACAAAAACAATGACAAAGAGTAATAATGCAATAATACAGAATTTATATCTATATCCATATCTATTCTATCTAGATATGGATATAGATATTCTACTTATTCTAATTAGTTTATTGATACAAATAATATCCTCTTTTTTTTTTCTTTTTTTTTTTTGAAATGGGCCCAGTGCCCAAGGCTCCAATAATGAACTTGATTACAACATTTAAGCACATGCCTCTTCCCATTAGGGCTGGAAGAGCCTCAGCCACTGCTCCCCTGGAAGCAGCTTCCCTGCATGACACGAATATAGAATAATTACAGGGCATTGATTGCTTCCTCAGGAAGGATTAACCCCGCTTTGTGCTGAGTCAAGCTCTGCCCTACTCGGCTCCTCAACTATCCACTACAGTTCTGTACAGTGAGGAGTAGGGAGATTCAAATAAGGTAAAGAGATTAATGACAGGGCAAGCTAGTTTGGTAGTTTAGCAGTTTAATGAGCTTCCCCCCACGATCCTATTTAGCCACTGAAATAATATCCTATAAAGAACCCTCCTAGCAAGGACACCGGTTTTCAACAAAAAAAAAAAAAAAAAAAAAAAAAAAGCATACCAGATTGTACATCCTTTGGTTTTCTTTGTCTTTTTCTTTTCTTTCCTTTTATTTCATGCTGGACAGCCTAAACAAGCTAGACCGAGTGGACCCTATCGAACAGTCTGCCTGCCAGGGTTGAAATCCCTGCAACATTATGAATGTGAACACAATGGAAACCCCAATATTTTGCGCCAGACCGGTGTTCAGAACTGGAGCAACCAACCTAACAGTTCCAGGCCTACTGGGTCAAAGGTGCGGAGGCAAAGGGGGGGGGTGAAAGAGGGGGCAAACCATATGTGTTTAGTGCCTGCCAATGTTTTTGGGCATGTGTGTTTTTGGAAGCATTCTTTCCCAACACAGGAGCACCTACGTCGACTTCTCTTTTTTTTAACCGACGCACACACAGGTGCCCCATCTATTCTGGGGGGCGGAAGTGCAGTTGCTTTTTACCGGCAAGCGTGAACAGAAACAAGAATTCCCAAGTAGGGGGAAGAGTCACTTTGGTGGCTTTGGCCACAACCCATGCCCGGGAGACTCCCTATGGTACCCCGAAACCCAAAACCCCTTCACCTGTAAACAGAGTTCCCTTCCCCCTGATGTCAATTTTTCCTTTAACCGCTGGTACACGGGGCCAGCCTTGCTGAAAACAAACTCGTCGCCTGCAAGTTTCTTCCGAAAACGACGGTGCAGGTGGGCTGTCGATAAAAAGAATCGGTGGCCTGCGTCGCTTACCGGATTCTGACGGGCGCACGCGACCGATAGCTGGATGTACTTGTGCCTTAACATAGCAGCACCTGTCTCTTATACACATCTAGATGTGTATAAGAGACAGTCTTCTGTCTTTTTCTTTTTCTTTTTTTTTTTGGGTAGTAGGGGTGCTGATACGAGCAGACACCACTATTACTGCCGGGGAGGCTCCATCTATTGGTGGGGAGCAACACCTGCTGTCCCAACCTCTACCAACAAATTAAAAGGTCTATCCCATTGCAGCTTTTTACAAGGTGCCTCACTGTGCATGAACCTGGTCGTAAAACCAGCCGGGTGTGCTCTAGCTGGCCACAAACAGCCCAAACAGTGTGACCTGACCCTTAGTAACCCTTGTTTTTCAATTTTTCTTAATACTGGATTCAAACTTGGGCCTGTATTTTAACAGTTCATGTGTGTACCGATTGACCAGGTCGGGTCGTTCCCTTGAGCCACCAGTACCTTTCCACTATATCGGCCATGGGCGGAAAAAAAAGGCCCGAAATGAAAAATGGGCCGCCTATGAAATTCATCAACGGCGCCCGATCCTGCTTGGGTTCCGCGTAACCGGGTGTGGAATCGATTTCCAAGCGGGGAAAGGTACTGGTGGTTTAAGCGTATCCCATTGCCTTGTCCAGCTGTTTCACTGTCAGCTCTGCGTAAATTCTCTGTTGTTCCTCCTGTCCGATCAAACCGACCCGACTGCCAAGCTGATAGCCATAATCTCCCACTTGATGGTGGTTTGCCCCTTCCACGGCTATGAATGTTGTAGCTGTTTTATTCACGACCAATCCAAACCCTCGTGGCGGAGGCTCGATGGCCTGATACTTAGAACTGTCGGGATCATCACCAAATAATCCATCGAGGGTCCCATAGATTTGTGTAACCGGTAGAGGCGACAATGTCAAATTCGCAGCAGGGCCACCACGCGCCAGAGTACTGAATGCGCCGGAATGCATGACGAGAGCTGCAAGGCGATGGCGGGTGGAGGAGGCCGCGTAGTTGAAGGCACAAATACCTCCGAACGAGTGGCCACCTACAGCCCATTTGTCCTCCGGTACAATGCTCAAGATTGTGTGATTTCCGGTCGAGCGCAAGATATCCTCTGCAACAATAGGTTCCAATGCAATTCGACGAGACATTTGAGGAATGACGACCATGTACCCGCGTGTCGAGATCTGAAAGGCTAGGGGAAAGTAGGCCCTAGCATCCACAAATGCCCCTGGGAAGTAAATTAAACCCCCTCTTGTGGCATTTGGTTTGAATACCCACATGTTCCGTCGTGGCTTTTCCAGCTTGCTAGAGTTGGAGGGCATCTCCGTAGGAACGGGTAGTGTGATTTGCTCAACAGGCATTCCGCCAGGAGGATAGACTTTCGATTCATTTTGGCCAGGCTGAAGAAGAGTGTTGTCGCCATAGGAAAGGGCCCTTGCTGTTGCCTGGTACATTCTTACGGGCAAACGCCGAAGCACCACCACATCTTCGCCCACGATCACCGTCTCCATTACCGCCGTTGATGATCCTCCCGTCCCGTTGCCTCCTTCACTGGTTGCATTTCCCAATATGCTATTGTTACGGCATGTTGAATAGGCGAAGTCATAGTGACCCTTCGTTGGGAACGGGTTTGAACCCATATCTCCTGGAATCCGACGGAAGCTTTCCTGCACTTTACTTGGGGGCATGATGTCGTCTAAAAGCCCGTAGTTAAGCACAATGTGAAGGTTAGCCTGTTTACAAAGGAAGGAGGAAATTCATGCAGAGTTAGCAAGGAACGGGGATTTGAAAAAAAAAAAGAAGGAAAAAAAAGCCTGTGCTTCTTTGTTTTTAAAAAAGGGGAAAAATAGCCAGTCCTTCTTCCTTTTTTTTTTTTTTTTTTTTTTTTTTTTTATGGTTTAACATCGTTTCAGACCAAACCTGCCGGCGCCAGGGTTGTGTGGGCCCCTGGTGATAGAAGGCGGTCCATCCCTCGATGGCTCCGATCTATTCGTGGGGAGCCGCACCTGCTGGAAACCGGGTCCAGCGTCCCATACATTCATACAATTCTGAAATAGTATTGGTGAGACCTTTTGTGAAGGCACAGCAAGAACCAGGGCCTCTTCACCCTGAGGCGCCAGAAGAACGTGAACTACTAGCCCCAGAACCTGCCATGACTCTGACTAACCACTACCGGATTCACCACTTGAAAGACCTGGTCACCATAGCTCTGAAAAGGATCTGCAGGATCTGACCGTTCCAACGAAGCTTACTGCTCGAGATCTATTGTAACACAACTGTACTTGTAGCACAACTGTAATCTCATTACCTTTCACGGGGGACGTGGGCCCATCAGCCAAGGTTCAATGCATATCCTGCCAGCAGTAGACTTCAGCATCCTCACCTTTTGCCCCCACGTTCTGAAGAACCACATTTTGGCATTTTTCTTATGCTTAACTCAATTGTTTTTTCTCCAGTCCGCCCAGATGAGCACTCTGATATTCTCAAAGACAAAATTCATTACTGCCAGGTCTGAGTAGGATTTTCTGCGGAATATTCTGTCATTCCTCATTCTCCAAATAACGTACATGATTGCTGCTATACAAGACAAGGCCACATAACACCAGCCCGGTCTAGCCTCACCTGCATTGGCCACTATGCCTCCTACTACCAAACGCTCATCCCAACCGATTTTGACCCCTACGTGCTTGTCCCACAGCTTTTCCCACCACTCCCAGACTCTTCTGGATTCCACGCATTCCCACCACAGGTGGGTCGATGTTTCTACTTTCTTCTTACATCTGCAGCATATAGCTTCCATCTCCAGTTCATTGTCAGCAAGCCATTTCGCTGTGGGTACTGCTCTATGTGATTGGATCCATACCAAACTGCGGAATTTGGCTGACGATATTCCTCGTAGGTCTTGCCGCATCTTCCTCAAAGAGGCTTTTTTTTTTTTTTTTTTTTTTTTTTTTTAAGTCCTTTGTAACCGCCATATTCCAGAATGAATCTGGTCACGAATGAATCTCCTGAAGTGACCGTTTTTTACCGTTAAGGTCTTTTTTTTTTTTTTTTTTTTTTTTTTTTTTTTTTTTTTTTTTTTTTTTTTTACCTTGAAACTGAGTGTTCGGAGAATTGCGGGTGGATTTCAGGAGGTGTTTAGCGATCGTGAAAAAGGATTCGTAGTTTTTCTCATCATCTATATTCATAGTTTTCTCATAGGGCAAGGAGGTATTTAAAGCACCAGTACGCGGCTACCTGGGTCGAGGGCCTGACACCGCAAATTCCAGAAGCGTGAAACGAAGAAGTGACCACCGATTCAATTTATCAACAGCAGGCCCAGCGTTTGACGTTTTGGCCTCGTTTTCTTGTGCCACTGGCGACAAGTTTTGGACTGCAAGGCTGGGGCCGTGTATTGGCGGTTGAAATCCGAGTTAATGAAGGAAGGGTTAAAGGGGTCATTGATCATGTGGTCATGAATCTTTATCGAAAAAAAAAGCACAGGGCGGCAGTTTCCAAGTATATCCACAGGTGACAGGCCCCAGGTAATTTGAGATTATTATTGAATTTATTGTACATTTTATGTCATGATTATTGGTTATCGAGTTTCTGTTATGACAGGTATGTTGAGAGTTTGTTGCTCGGACCTCCTCCAGGTCTTATGTCCGATTGGACCCTGCGCCGAACCATCGGATGGTCTGGTGTCGCCGATCGGGGCGCGGTGCGAAAGGCATGATGCGCGATCGGTTGGTGCACCAACATCCACAATCCACACTGTCAGGTGTCGCAGTTTGATGAGCTCGCCAGACCATCAGACGGTGGTGTTGTGTTCAGGAGAGCACCTCTCGTTTTGTGGTTGGCGTGTTGGAAGGTCCCTGCGATAATGAAGTGATCACTAACAACGTATCCGAATGCTTTGCATAAACTATGCACACTTCCAACATCAATAATGAGAAGGGGAGCTGCCCTCATGCGTCGCAGTGGTCCTCTGCATACGGAGGACAGTGAGGCGGGTCGTATGGAACAGGGTCCGGAGTCCCCGCGGCGTCGGACCACCCAGTGACCAGGAGTCCCCCGCGGTGGCGGACTGCCCAATGGTCCGGCGTCCCCGCAGTGCTGGACCATCTGGTGGCCTGGAGTCCCTGCGTCGCCAGGCCATCCTATGGTCCAGAGCCACGAGGCGCCGGACCGTCCGATGGACATGGCGTCCCCTGCGGCGGCGGACCATATGGTCGTCCAGAATCCCCGTGGCGCCGGACCATCCGATGGTCTGGAGTCCATGTGGCACCTGGCCATCGGATGGTCCGGAGTCCCCGTGGCGCCGGACCATCCGATCGTCCCGACTTCCCGTGGCGCTGCACCATCAGATGGTCCGGAGTCCCCACAGCGCTGGAACATCAGATGGTCCAGAGCCCGAGGCGCCAAACCATCCGGTGGACATGGCGTCCCCACGGTGGCAGACCATCCATTGCTCCGCGCCGCGGGGACGCTGCACCGTCACCGACATGCCTCCGGTCCTCTTCTTCCCAACCTGCATTCGCCTTTCTGCCGCTTTTTTCCCGCCATTTGCATTTTGGCGCTATCCTTTGATTTAAATAGTAAAAGTCGTTAGGGTAGATGACCGGGAATACTGTCGCCATTCACGGCATCTGTCCCATCCATGGCAAAAGAACATTAAAAAAAAGGGAAAAAAAGCAACTTCCATTTAGCCACCATAGCGGGTATGGATGTTTTTTGTGGTAACTTCGGCGCAGTCACAAAAATAGTTTGTAATTGCATTCTAATTTCTAAACACTGATTTCACACTTTCTTTTTTTTTTTGTCTTTTTTTTTTTTTAAGTTGTTCAGTTTTTCTCACTGCTGGAAAACGGGTCCAGCGTCCCTCACATAATAGATCGAAATGAAACTTCTGGTAACAGGTGGGAAACATACTATGACCTCTTCACCTCGAAGGCGCCTGGAATGACTGTGTCATGCTAGCCTAAAATGCTACTTCCTGCTCTGCTATTCTGCAATGTTCAACGCACTGCGGCCAATTCTGTAGTAGACATAAGACTTAGTTAGACTGTGAAACTAAGCCCGTCTGTTATTGGTCTTGTTGGAGTTGGAGCTATTGTAGACCTTTCTGACAGCGCAAAGGTATTCCCTGAGGAAACGGGGACTAATATGTTTATGGGGGTCTCGGTCCCCGCAACCATGGAGAAAGGGTGATAGTACCTCGGTTTCTGTTTCTGGAGGCCAACCTACCATCTCTTCCCCAGGTGCTGAAAAACCTTTTCAGTCTTGGTCTCAAGCTGAGGAAACTACCCCCTTGTAGACCTTTCTGACAGCGCAAAGGTATTCCCTGAGGAAACGGGGACTA